AAATGCTTCATTATATGTAAAGTTTTTGGGATTAGTTATGTTATAAGTGATCGGATCGACTAACATCGACAATAGGATAGTTCCCTCGTCCTGTGCGTCGCCTATCATTAGATTCAAACCCTTCTTATAATCCCCTGTTTCTAACATTTCAAACGGAGATTTAGTAAAGATCTGGCCGTCGATGACAAACAGGGGAACGACATCTAATTTATTGGTCGACGGGATGTATGTCGAGGCGGGTATTGAAGCCAACTTTTCAATCGGCATTTTTCGTAAGCAGTCCATTATTTTTGGTGTAAACTTGTGGTCACTTTCTTCTGAACACCCGATTTGTTGCGATTGTTTTAACCAATATTTGAGCGAATTTTCCGGTGTAGCGACGCCTCCGTACATAAGTGCTGATCCGGACATCATTATAGCGTTTTGAAATAAATCTCGACTATTGGGTGATAGTATGTGTCCACTCACTGACGCACTGCCAGCGCTTAAACCAAATATTGTCACTCTATTGGGATCTCCGCCAAAGTGTCCAATATTTTTCTTCACCCATTGAAGGGCTAATGTCTGGTCCCAGAAGAGTGTATTTCCGGGCGCGTCATCCGTTCCCGAGTATAACATTCCCAAAGACGCCAATCTATACAAGTAATGAAAAAGTTATATTTAGACAACAAACTTAACTAAATTAGAGCTCACCTGTAATTAATAGATACAACGATAACATCGCCTCTCGTCGACAAAACAATAGGATTTGCGGAGAATTCACTGGACGAGCCTATAATGAAGGCCCCGCCGTGGATCCATACCATCACTGGTTTTGGTCCAGTGTTTGATTTATTAGGTTTGGGTGAAAATACATTGAGATAAAGACAATCTTCGCTACGATTCGGGTTTTGATAAATTTGTAACATAATAGGGGATTGATAGCAAGCATTTGGCCATTTGGTTGTGTCCAAAGGTTTGGTCCACTTCTTCGCCGGCACTGGTCTTCGGAAGCGGAGGTCACCGACCGGTGGCTCCGCGTATGGAATACCCAAATATGTGTCCACTTCTGTGCCGTTGAATACTTGTGTGAATCCATTGATTACTCCGTTCTCTATCGAAACGCTTACACTCTTTGCGTTGATNCTGGTCTTCGGAAGCGGAGGTCACCGACCGGTGGCTCCGCGTATGGAATACCCAAATATGTGTCCACTTCTGTGCCGTTGAATACTTGTGTGAATCCATTGATTACTCCGTTCTCTATCGAAACGCTTACACTCTTTGCGTTAATTTCTATAATATTTATAATAATAAATAGAAACACAAATTGAATGAATTTATTGAATAACATTTTGTTTGATATTTGAATTCAAAAAACAAACTTATAAATAACTAATAAATTGTAATGTAAAGCAAATCATTTATATACGAAATTTTTAAACTACATTTCAATGGATAGCTATTTGTGTTTTTCAGTGCAATTCATATAACAATACTATAATTTTATCATAAACTGTAAGTTAATATAATTATGTGATTAATTTTCTACTGATTAAAAGTTCTAATATACTAAT